TTGAGCCAAATCTTAGCCAAAACGATCTCTTCGGGTATGTTTGCCATTAAAGTTACCACTTATTGTCTCATTGATTATCTCATTGTCTGATGTCTTAACTAATGTCTTGTGATTGTATTGCAGATCAAAATGAATTGCAGGCTTCGCTCCAATACTTGCAGCAATTGGCTCAACAATTTAAGGTCAGTATTTGTAGGCCTTTGCGGTGATAATGACCACAAACACCACTCCAATCACTCGCTTCTCTGTAGCCATCAATGGGTTTATGCATTGATTAAAGGCTTCACTGAATGGCAGACATTTGAGTGGTTTTGTGGCGTTATCTTCAGTGATAAGACAATCTGTCATTGATTTGTGTTTTTAATTGTCTTTTTGTTGTTGTTTTCGACTCAAAGCCCGAGTTTTTGCAACAATTGTCTGGAATCCTAAGTAATATAACAAACGACGCGGTCATACGGATGGCGGCCGCTCTTCAGCTCAAGAAAGCTCTTCAGGTCTTTACTTCAGATAATCTGGAAGTGCAGCGTCAGTACCAACAGAGTTGGCTATTGTTTGCCGAAGACGTCCGCAATTACATCAAACAAAATGTGTTGAATTCATTAGTACTGGACAACAGCCGGCCCTCGTCTGCGGCTCAGTGCGTGGCCTACATCGCCGTCGCGGAGTTGCCGCACAGTCTGTGGCCAACACTCATCCAAACGCTGACCCAAAACGTGACGAATCCCAACAACACTGAAATGATGAAAGAGTCTACTCTCGAGGCCATCGGCTATATCTGTCGGGACATCGACCCCAAGCATCTGGTCTCACAAAAAGATAACATACTGACGGCTATAGTCCACGGGATGCGCAAAGAGACGGCCACTCGTGTGATGCTCGCGGCGACCAACGCTCTGCACAACTCATTGCAGTTCACGAAAGCTAACTTCGATAAGGACTCGGAAAGGCATTACATTATTCAAGTGGTCTGTGAGGGCACTCAGTGTCCAGAGATTAAGGTATGTATGCCTTCCACTCTCGAGCCACACTTGTGACCCGTTTTGACCCACTTTTGTGTCTATTTTAGGTGAAAGTGGCTGCTCTGCAATGTTTGGTCAAAACAATGTCACTCTATTACCAACATATGGAGCAATACATGGGTCCGGCCCTCTTCGCCATCACAATGCAGGCCATGCGCTCAGATAACGACGAGATCGCCCTCCAGGGCATTGAGTTCTGGTGGACGGCGTGTTTTCATGAAAAAATTATCTATCATAAGATTGAACAAAGAAGCCCGAAGTCGGCCATATTTTCGGTTAAGAACGCCGTCCAAGATTTGGTGCCCATTCTGGTGCAGACGCTCACCAAAAGAAACCGGTTATCCCGAAGAGCCTCAGATTGCTTGGGGGTTATGGCATCACACACTGGAATTCAAGACTCCATTATCTCACATGTGTTGTCATTCGTCACGACAAACATCACGAACGCCGACTGGGAGTTCAGATATGCGGCGGTCATGGCTTTCGGCTGTATTCTTGAGGTACCCGATCAGCAGACCCTCCGAACCGAAGTTAATAAGGCGTTGCAGACACTCATTGATCTGATGGACGACCAGAGCGTTATCGTGAGGGACGCCGTCGTCTGGACTATAGGCCGCATCTGTGAACTCATCCCCGAAGCGGTCCTCAAAGACGGAACTCTGAGATCCCTTTTGGAGGCACTGCTGAAAGAGTTATGCTCTGAGCCCCGGGTGGCGGTCAACGTCTGCTGGGCTCTAAAATCATTAGCGAAGGCCTCCTATGAAGCGGTTCAAAAGGGCGACGGAAATGAGCCGAAGATCTACTGCTTGTACGAGTCTTTCAAGACGATCGTCCAGAAGCTGTTGGAGGCGACGGAGCGACAGGACGGAGGACAGGCTAACCTGAGGTCTGCCGCATACGAGGCGCTGATGGAAATGATCAAAAACAGTCCACTCGACTGCTATCCCATCGTCCAGAAGACAACAATGATTATATTGAAGCGAATGAATCACGTGCTGTCCATCGAGAAGCACATCTCTAACCGAGAGAATCATATGCAGTATAATTCGATAATACAGTATCAGTTCAGGGATACCCAGTCCCTCCTCTGCGCGACCCTTCAATCGGTGCTCCGCCTGAAGATGACGGCCGACGACGCGCCCAGGATTTCGGACGCGATTATGACGGCTCTCTTGGAGATGTTTAACGCGAGCGTAAAGTCCGGTGGAGTACAGAAGTACGGGTTGAAGACTGTTGGGTCGGTCGTCGAGACGTTGGGCGAGGATTTCCTCAATTATATGGATGTCTTCCGACCCTTCCTTATCGTCGGTCTTCGAGATCACTTTGAATACCAGGTCTGCTCCGCAGCCGTCGGACTGGTGGGCGATATCTGCCGCGCGATTGGCGTCAAAGTGTTGCCATTTTGTGACGAATTGATGACTGTTTTGCTGGAAAACCTGTCCAATCAAACGGTGCACCGAAGCGTCAAACTGCAGATCCTATCAGTCTTTGGCGACATCGCGCTGGCCATCAGTACGGAGTTCAAGAAGCACTTGGATGCCGTCCTCGATTCTCTTAAGCATGTCTCGCAGCTCAACCTTACCCTCGACTATGAGTTGAGCGCCGCCGTCGGACCCGTACTCCGGGCGTTCGGGGAGAACCAGTCCATCCTCGCGATGTTAATTGATGGCAAGAAGTCGGGGGATATGGATACCCAAGCGCTGTACGGTTGGGCCATCAAAGAGATCCGCAATACCAAAATCATTTAAACAACTCTTTAATGATTAGTTAATTATATATAAAATCACTGAAAATTTATTGCTTTGTTTTATAATTAAAAAAATTTATATTTTTAAAACAACTGTTAATTATTTAAATAACAATTTTCCA